CGCAATTATGAATCAAATAATAAATTGATAATATATTAATAAATAAACATAATAAATAACCAAATATATAAATAAAACTCAAAGATATTTCGTAAATGCATGCATACACGTGCATTTTCGTGACTCGCATGCTACTTAATGATGAATTTCTTCTTGAACTTAATATTATTGTTAAATTCATATTGTTATGCGTGACAAACAAGATACGATATAAATAGTCTTCTTGAGAAGAAAATATGATTTGCAAAAATTAAAAGTGTACAGTAATCACAGTGTACAACAACAAGTGTATGACAAACGATAATTTGTAGAGCAATAAATCCGTTATAATATATTAAATTTTCCTCAACTCTTGCGTTTTTTATGCGTTTCATTTATAATGTATATTCCAACTTTTCTTTTTTTACTAAAAATCAATAGGGTATATACGTCGAGAGAAAATAAGTTTAATAAGAGAAAATAAGTCATTCGACATGACATTAACAGGAGATACTACTTAATCTTGCAGACAAAAAATCAACATGCAGACACACGTTCGTTAAACACAGTTCCATCATTACAATCTTGCATTTGGGAATGTTTACGATCGTGCGATTAATCTCTTTTTTTGTACTTCCGCAGTTACCTTCAAAGTACGTGATCTTGATAAGTATGATTAATTAAACTTAACCTTGATTACAGCATGCTTATTGATAATTCTACATGAATAATTCATCCACATCATCAAAGCAACAGCTTTATTTTTCTACTTGTTTAATGGATAACAAAAGATTTGAAGTAAAAATTTACAAAATAGATGTATAAGATTTACAAAAATTTAATTATACAAGGTCAGGCATTTATTTTCTTACGCAGGTTTCATCGAAATCAATGAAAAATACAATGAAAACATATCAAAGCGTACGAGAAATATATTCATCTAAATATTATCTAAATAAATAAAATAATTTTTCATTTCTTTTCTTATTTTTCGCTAATGTTAAATATTTATATAATTCAGGTAAAAAGAGCAAATATTCTGAATATTTTAAAATATTTTGAATTTTATTATGTAATAATATATAAATATAGTAATTATATTGTATAATAATAATAATAATAATAATAATAATAATAATAATAATACAATTTGAAAAAATAAGACCTACGAGTGAAAAAAATTAAAAAAAGTGGGGAGTTAATTGACTTAAAAATTTAAAAACTTGCCGATGCAATTATCGATGCAACTGAACAAGAATGATCTTATTCGTATCGTACGTTTGTCACACGATGTGTGTTTGTGACACGACAGCATTACTTGTCACAGTAGCTGCGGTAACCTAATTCGCTCCAACTCTGGACAGAAGGTCAAATATGCATTTATCACAGTCTATTTTACTAACCTTTACTGACTAGAGAAATATGAAGCGAGAAAATATGGATTAGCAAAAAGCTCTCTAACACTCTATCTTAATTTTTACAATAATAATTAATGATTATATAATCTTATATTGATATTATTTTAGAAATATCTTTGATCGATAAAAAAAATAAAAAAAACAAATGAAAATGAACACGTCATTTTACCCATATAATATCCACATCCATCATCTTCGAGTAACGTGATATTATATATGTTTAGTATGTACTATAAAAACATCTATAAAAATATCTATAAAAATGTATATCCTTTCAAAATGGCTGACATATCATTAATTTTATAACTTTCAAAATAGTAATGCACAAGTAAATAATATCTGCAGGAGAATTAGCAAGGTTCTACTTTTGTGATACCTGCATGACTTACAACTGCACAACTTGTTATTACATTTAATGTAATAGTTCGATGCAGGAAATAAGCGTTATATAACGCGATATGATAGACCATGATAGGTAATATTTAACATATTGTAAATATGTAAATATGCAGATTGATAATTTTTATAATTTGCTAATATATACTCTAATTGACCTTCAATTTAAATTTCTTTTTCTTTTTTTTTAGAAGTGCATTAAAAAAGTTACATAAATTATTTAGCAAAAGATTATTTCGTGGAACACTTTTTCTGTAAGAAATATCCAATGGAACTCTAATATTCTCTATAAATTACAATAACATATCGACACCATATCGACTTTAAATAGAAACACAAAGTTAAATTAAAGTTAAATTGCAACAATAATATATATCTATATATATCTATAAATAAAGAACGTATGTACATTTTGAAAATTTACTTGCTTTCAATAATTTGTCAAATATTTCTCAATCAAATATTTCTTAAATAAAAGAGAGTGAGAAAGATTAAAAAGTTAAAAAGTGTTCTCTTTTCTCTTCTAAAATTATTTGAAATTATTGAAATATAATAAAGCTATAAACAAATATTCTTAATATACATTTCTACTAGCTTTACTAGCTAGAAGAAATAGTTACACGGAAAACCTACATGTAGCTCTAGCTGCCCCACTATATAATGTATTCCATACTGATAACACACAGGTCTTACGATAATTAATCATTTTGCGACATTCCGATATAATTACGTTAAATGATAAATTTCAAATGAGCTAATTATAGAATGATACTAAAGTAAAAGTGATTATATTGTATTGTTATTTATTTATTATTATAATATTCTACTAAATATATATAATTTTTCTGCCAGGAAAAATTTATATCAAATAATGAATAAATAAATTCTTTGATTTTTATTTCTTTGCAATTAAACAAGAATCTTATTAATTTTTCAGGCCAGAATATCAAGCAACCATGGTAAAAGCGTACAATGGCGCATTAGTTCTTGCGGACATTTTATTAGTTATTTCGAAGATTCTATATTACATTTGTGAGAGCGTGTACAAGTTTTTTGTTCCACCGGAAGAAAAAAGTGTGGCTGGTGAAATTGTTCTAGTATGTATCTATACAATATGTATTACTGATATATACTAATATATTTATTATATTCCATTTTGTTGTTTTACAAAGTGAACTGACGCAAAATTTATTTCTAGAATTGAGCATTTTAATGTTATAAATAAAGTTAAATACGAGAGAAACATATCTCGATAATATTAGTATATTAAACAATTATTACTCTTACTTACATTAGAAAGAATAATAATTTTATTTTAATATTTCACGTTCATTTATTGGATACTAATCGAAAAAAGATTGTAAATCATTACAATGTAAATAGAATGGAGAATAGATAAATTTAACATGTTCTTATATAAGCGAAAAAAACGATTTAATGAATTCCGATTAATAAATATGCATATGCTATAACTAATAAGACTTGATTATTGAACGATTATTGTTACTTATGTAATTTAAAAAATAATATTTTGTAATATAGATCATGAATTGGAAAATTATTATTGTTACTTTTTGTTTGTAATTTTTTATTTGTAAATAATACACGTGCATAATTAACAAGTTTGATCTAAAACATTGATTTACACACACACACACACACATTCAAACACACACACACACACACACACAAAGTGTCCTATTCTAATTTTAAACAGTACAAATAATGTCTAGAAAATGATGTGATTGTAAGAAAAAGATTATTTACGT